GAATATAAAATTTAAATAATGCTAGTGATGATTATCGACTATAGAGATAAACAACATTACACTATAAAATTATCAACTATAAATATTAACAACATTACAATATAAATTTAAAATAATATTATCTTCTAGAACTTATATGATCATCTATCTATATGGTCGTGATATCACTATCGCAATAATTAATTAAATTAAAACACATTTTTGTACTTTGAAAATGTGTGACTGAAATTCTACTTCCACATAGACTAATGTATTTGGTCTCTAACTGAATATCATTATCCATAAAATTCTTATATTCATAATGCATTTTATTTTTTAAAATATGTTGATAAATTGTAGAGATGAATCGATTGAATAGTTATATTGCAATTTATAATATTTATAAACAATATACGAAACCAGTATAAAAGTTTAGAGGCCTTCAATTATTTTCATTCTTAAGATTGAAAGAGTCACAAAAATGTTGTACCATTAAATTTAATCAACCACCTATAGTGGGCTAGCTGCACATCTGCTAGCATTGACATTGAGTATTTAGTCTTTGTTTGATTTTCATTATTTTTCAATCCCACATTTTTTAGTAAAATAATATTACACATAAATTCAATTTTTTTTAACCGCTCATTCTTCATCAATCTATTATTCTAAAATGCATTTTAACCAAAAATGGGACTCAAAGAGTCGCTAAACAAATAAACAATATGTCTATCGATTTTCAATTTCTTCTAGAAGAAATTTCCAAGTTTTCTCCCCTCCAAAATTAGATATAAATGGTTATGATTGAGATAGAAGAAATTGAAATGTCACGATCTAATGATCCACTTGCTGAAGCATTGGACCTACTTTTGCTTTGCTTGTGTCACTATAAGAAAACGGTCGACGAAGAGATCATAATTTGTTTTGAATGTATGTTCATCAATGTTCATGTTGTTTGTAGTTTGATATCTTTAGTATGATAGATTGAGTTCGATTAAAGGACATGACAACTTTTGTAAAATGGCTGGTTAATTTCCATAATTTTGTTGGTTCATGTTTCATTCAATGTACTAAATATGTCGTGCATCAAATTCAATTCTGCCGTCTTGTTTAATTTGATATTTGGATAGACAATACTTGAATTGAACAATATATTTGTTTTAATTTATTCAGATAAATCTAACAAAAATTGCTTGACCTATTTGTTTATACGAAAACTATACAACTACAAGAATTGAGATTTGTTGCCCGACCAATTAATTATTGATACGTCATCTTATATTAACATGCTCAATTTTGTTTTTTTCTAATTACTCTTCATGCTTAAAAATAGGTAACATTTTAATGTAAAATGATGTGTCAATAGTTAATTGATGGACAACTTATTGGTCAGTAAAAATTAAACAGTAAATCTCAACTCATAACTACAAAGGTTTCAAATAATTATTTCAAAATTAGCTGGTTACCTTTTGTAACCCCTAATAAAAATTCGGTCACATTTTGTGATCCCTAGGAGTGGGCGCAGTCCGATTCAGTCCGATTTCAAAGGGAACCAAATCGAATCGAATATCAATGAGAATTATATATTGTAAATAAATTTATTTAGGTATAGATTTACCATTGTTTCCATAGTTAACTATGAAACCATTCCGGTCCAATTCTTTATATTGAAAATGTCAAAATAAAATGTTCACTAATAAAAAATCTAAATATGCTACCAATGTGATACTTTTACTATTCAAAGATTAAAAGAAAACTAAACGTACAAATTTAAAAACAATATCCACAACTTATATAAATTGCATAGTACTCCAATGATTAAACAAACTTCTATCAAAATCAAAATTCTACATTGAATAAGATACCCTTTAAAAATTTGTTGCAATTTCTAGTTCCGTTGGTAATAATTTGTAGAAATCTAGATGAAAAGTTTCGATGGGATCAACAACTAGGTAATCAAAGTGAAAACAAAATAAAAATTTCGCATCTTAGAAATGGAATTATATATTGTAAATAAATTTATTTAGGTATAGATTTACCCAATATTCTAATTTGGCTTGAAAATCAATTAATCAAGGAATTATATGAAGAGAGAATGAAAGAGAAGGAAAGTGTTGGGGTTTAAAAAGAAGGAACCCAATTATTTTTTTATAAAAGTGATTGGAGATTGAGTCATATATTTTATCAAAAAAATAAAAAATCCTATGAGAACCGTTCGATTCCCATACTTGTATTCGGATCTGGTTGGTTCTTAATAATTTGTCCCAAAATCAAATCATTGTTTAGAAGATCCGGAATCAAACCTGGTCAGTTCTAAACGATTTCGATCCGATTCCACCGATTTGGGAAAAAAATGTCCACTCCTAATGATCCTTGGTAAAAGCTTGTGACATATAATTTAATTAATAAGGTCACAATCAAAATCACACGGAATTTAGGATCACAATCACATATCATAAAAAATTGCACGAGGTCACAATCACTAAGACCAATTGTGTGTCACAATTACAAATTGCAAATGTGTCACAATTACAAATTGCAAATAATATATTTTTTTAATTCCATATTATTTATTGATCATAAAATATTCATGGAGAGTGCTAGATGTACATACGCTTTTGTACAAAATGGTTTACTTACACTCACAATGGGAGGGTGGGGGCTACATGTTGGCATTTTTTATTTTATGTGGAGCCCAAGTATATGTGAGAGTGAGTAAAATATTTTGTACAAATGTATGAGTACAAATATCTTTATCTAATACTCGTTATATTGATCACAATTATCCAAATAATGGTCACAAAATGCTCTTCATTTCACCCACACTTCGCTTCACAACCACCTACACGTCGCGCCACCTCACAACCACGCCCCCACCCCACCACCTCTAGTCCATTACCTCCATCTCTACCAAACCACCATTACCACGTCCACATGCACCTTCAAGCAACCACCAAACTACACAGACACACACAATCAGAGATGCAGCACCATATTTACCACCACCACCAACTCCTCCACATCTACCATAACCACCACGCCACCTCAAATCCACAACTCACACCATTTCGTCCACAAAGGTTACCCAAATATGCAAAGTTAGGGTTTACCACCACTTGCACGCCCTTCCGCCAGTAATGAGAGGCTTGATTCAACAAAGTTAGGCTGGATGTTGACGGAGTCAATCAGGGTCGGTCCTGTGATTGTCGGGACTCGAGACGAAGTCCATAAATTAGGCTCTCGACGAAATCAACGTAAACACAAAGTTCGACGAAAATTATGGAATTACACCCTTGAGAATTCCCCCGTCATAACTCACGAGCCTGAAATAAAAATTTAACTTCAAATACCAATACAAATTAAAACATGATCATCAAACTTAAGAAAATAACAATTGCAAAGGAGCACATTTAATCAAACTTTGAGAAATAATACATTTAATAAGAATTAATCACCATTAAAACAGTACCATCAACAAAATAAATTACTTAAAATTTATCTTTTATAGGGGACAACTACACTGAAGCTATTTGCCTATTTACATAAATTTATAACTTCTACCATTTTTCATCTTGAGAACTTAATAACTGAAATAAAGCAAAGAAATCGAAAAATAATATTCTCAAAAGACCCCTCCACAATAAAAGAAATGCCTTGAGTGAATTAGCAAGGCAAACAACTCAAAAGATACCACTTATTTACTTCCTATTTCTTCATGGAAATGAGTAATTGTCCAACATTCGTCTAGTCATTCGCTTATATATTTCTTCGATTTCACACAGCCACGCTAATCCACTACCCACTCCTTCCTTATGACATGCTAACCATACAAATATAGCAATAGTTAATTGCAAATCAAGATTCAAGGCATCAATACATCACTGATCGGAAATTCCAACACTTTGCATGCCCAAGAAATCGCTCTCAAGCAATTCAAATAAAAGCATTTAAGAGTATAATCACTCACAATTCACAAACTTCCTGTTTTCTTTGTCTTCGTTCCGGTAATCTTCTTGCAATTACTAAATTACAGAATATAGACCAGCTGCAAAGTGCAAAGATATCGTTAAAAAACAATATTGTTAGATTCAAGATTTTTCATATTATCTGAGTCTGTGACCAATTGACCATGCCTATAAATCTGTAGGGTGGCAGTCCAATACGAAAATGGCACAATCCCATTTGGGAAAACACGATAAAGACGAATGCTTTCCTGCTTAATACAATGAAAACCCATTTGGAAAAATATGATTAACAACAAACCTGTTTCCAGTTTCCTAATTCTTCATGTAATCGTATGAGGTGAAGTTTCCTCATTTGTCCAATTCTAACAACAGGGGTGAACTGGTGTCCGGTGAAGGGGAAAACTGGAAAAGAGGAGAAGAGAGACTGGAGTGATAGACCACGGACTGGCGGAGTCGCGAAGATGAGACTAAGACCGAGACAACGAGGAGGCCTTGGAATTTCGAATTTGGGAATTTCAAATCTGGTGGCCTTGTTTACCCAAAAAAAAAAAAAACAAAAACAAAAACAAAAACTTCTGGGCCAAAATTAGGCTCTCTACGATCTTGGGCCTGAGGCCATTGGCCTCGCCTCAGGACCAGGCCTGAAGTCGATCTAGCTGGTCCAGTCACGGGTGGAAATGACGATGGCCATTACAGGGATTCAGTTCGAAAGATGTTAGTGGCAGAAATTTGGAAGGCTAGGGCTTTATAGGCTAAAACTCTCATCGTCGTCGACATTGTCAATGGTTACTTCACAGTGGCGGAGCTTGTGACTGGTGGATTAGCAATGATGTTGATAGATTGGATGTGGACCGTATTCAGTCCAACATCACTGTACAATTGAGTCCACGAAGCCTGACTACTACAAGCGAAGCTGGCCCGTATCAAAGCGCATAATTTTGGCCCACAAGTACAGAGTTATTCACACGTCTCACGAGGGCCAAATAAAAAACAAAAAATTTTCTTTACAATAACACCCAATGCAAGTGAAAAACCAACTAGTGCGATTTTACAGGAACTGGATAAAATTGGAGTGAATAGCACGACAGAGGAATCTCAGCCCTAAATCCGATATAAATTTCGTCTTATAATTCCAATTATTCCAGCTCTCTCGAAATGGCTCTCTTCACTCCAAACTTGTCTTTCAATACTCTCACCTACAATTCCAGTTTATTTACACTACCTGCCACTCGTCGTCTTTTTATCCGCTGCCCCCGCTCCCTAAAGCTCAGAGCTTCATTAGCCGTTGACTCCCCATCGACCTCCGCCACCGGACGCGGCGGTGCTGCGGAGCTCCTACTTGAAGTCAAAGACCTTTCTGCCGTAATTACCGAGTCCAAACAGCCCGTTCTTAAAGGCGTTAACCTAACTGTCCGCGAAGGCGAGGTAAAATTGAGAAATTTGTGATCATATACTTTTATTAATTATCATTATTTTATTAGAATAGAACGAGCACGATAGTGAGTTACTAGAAAATTGTTGGAGAAAAAGGAAAATGTATTCAATTCCAAATTAAACTGTCCAGCTTTATGCATTTGATTAAGACTACTAGCAGAGATACTGTGGAGATATATTGACGCTGAGCATGGGTTAGAAGTTTGGAGTTGAAATTAGATAAACTAGCATATAAATTTGCATTAATTTTCCCCAATTCCAATTGTAAACACTAAATTCAAGAGAACATATAGTTCTTCCAGTGTCTTTCGACTTTTAACTTGCAATTGAATTTGACAAGGTTCACGCGGTGATGGGGAAGAACGGTTCTGGCAAGAGTACATTTGTGAAGGTCAGTGCTTTTTTTTTTTTTTTTTGCCTTGTTAACTGAGTTTTTACTTGATAATGTTAATAGTTTTAAGTCCACCTCTCCTCATTCTAGAATGTTCAGTCTTCAACATATTCCATTGTCATGTTAGTGTCCTACTTTCTTCAGCTGTCCCTTGTGCTTTTGTGTTGTTGAGTTGTCCAAGCTCACCGGTATTACCTTAGCTTCAGTACTCATGTGCTTGATAATTTATCTCTTTCAATGACGCAGTCTTCTGGTCAAGCTTGACCTTGACTTGTTTGCTTGAACTGAGCCAAGATGGGCTTGGCTCATATGATAATTGACTATAGAGTCAAGCTCAATCTGGTATTTATATAACTAAAATGTGCCTATCTTGAGCTGCCAGGAGCTTAAGTTCACCAGAAGTTGCTTGCATACAACTTGGTTAGCTTAAAACTCTAATTTCTAACAGCATTGGAACGATGTAGTAAAATAGTTGTCTTGTCCATGAGGGAACTGTGTGGTGGTATCAATTTGGGATGTCAGCTTGAGCCCGAGCCAGATAGTGTGGCTGGCCCGTGACGTGACTAGCTGAGCTTAAAATAAATAAATAAATAAAATCAGTAGCTGGCAGCTACAAGTACATGTAGCTGCCTTAGGAATGTCAACAAGTTGAAGCTCGGGTTCAGCTCGACCAAAAATGGTTCAGGCTTTTTTTTGCCTAAGTCGAGCCGAGCTTTTACTTCACAAAAAAATTTAAGCTCAATCCGAACTTTCGACTTGCTTTTTTATTTTAAATTCGTGACAAATCTAAATTTTTTTAAAAAATTTTAAATTTGTGCAATTTATATGAATTATAAATTTAATGAAAGTTACAACCCTCCTTTTTTGGGGTTTGGGAGGTAGACGTAGTTAAAATTGTACACAACTAAAATATTTCGTGCATAATTTTCTTGAAACAAATAAAATTAAAAATTACATATTTTTTGAAACTAATCAATTTAAAAATTTATAATATCATATCCTTGGATGTGTTGCAACTTTTTGGCTATTATACTGTCAATTTGTTCTTGAATACGTAATTATGCACATTCCAATTCTTCAAGCATATTGAAGCCTCATCTTCTTTTATTCTTGATAGTTCGTCTGATAAGGCTCGACCAACTAATTTAAATGCTGCCTCCAATGCTATTGTAAACACCGAAGATGTTAGTAAATCACGTGCAATTTTTGAAACAATTGGATATTGCCTTTCGTTATACCTCCATCATGATAATAGACTAAATTTCTATAATTCTTTTGATTATAACACACTACAAACATCCATGCACATATACTTAGCTAACTTAGCGAGAATTTCAAGACTTGTACCACTAACATCTATCGCTCCAGACATTGATTAACAAGAACTAAATAAGGGAATACTTGTATTGATGTTCAAATGATTTCATATATCATTTGAATTTGTTGAAATATTTCTTAAAAATGAACTTTGGGAAGTACTCTTTTTTTAGCATAATAGTTATACATTTTAAATAACATAGATTTTATATGCACATATGATAATTTCACATTTGTGAAATTTAAATCCCCCTTATAATAGCTGGTGTGCTAGTTAAATTAAGTTGATGATCCATCACTGAAGCTAAAAGAAATAAAGAGGGCAAGTCTTACCACTATTTACAAGATTTTGAATAGAGTAGACTATATCAACAAAAATTGACAAATTCCTATATTTATAAAATGTATGTGAAATGTAGAAAAAGTCTTGTAAAACAAATGAAAATGTAGGATAATAAACACCGCTACTTTCCTTTGTAATATCGAAAAAAGGTTTTAAAAATTTCTTTACACTAAAGCAATAGACCATTCTTGATTTTTCCAAATTATGTTTGGGTCCATATGTGTGCATAACGTTATAATATAATGAAATAATTTTATCATAATTTTCGCATGAGTTTAACATAAGATATATAGAGTTTTATCTATGTGTTACATCAGTGATAAATAATTTCTCTTGTAAGTCATACTCAGCACGCTAACTGTTAAGTGCTTTCTTAATTGATTGTGATATAGTAATAAAATTTATTACTTGTCTAATTTTATCTAAAGATAATTTTATATGTTTTGATCCTTTTTTTACAATCAAATTGATAATGTGGTATCCACAATATTGATGAAAAAATAAACTTCTAAATGCTGGGTCAAGATCATTAATAAATTATTAGATAACACCTTTGTTTACACAAGCATTATCAAAAGTAAAATTTCGAACAATTTCTTGTTTAACATGTTCTTATATAATATTTTTTATAACCATGTATTTGTTAGTGACATTATGAGGATATTTTACACATTTAAATGTAATAATTTTTTTAAGTAAAAGTCACAACTGATCAATGGAATGAGCCGTAATAGAAATATTACATTTTCTATTACCACTAGTCCATAAATCAGAGGTAAACCACATAATAGTATTATAAGTTTTTAGACCTTCAATAATAACTTGTTTTCTATTGTTATATAATTTTATAGTACCTGATCGAAGAATATTTCTACAATAAGAAGGAGATAATTCTGCACGAGTCGGATAAAGTGTATTGATTCTATCATTGTAAACGACAACTCTATTGTAGTCATGTATGCAGTCATTCCTTCACTAAATCGTTACTGTGAATATATTAAAGTGGAAAGAGTCGAACTAGAACTGTCAGTTCAGTTTGTTTCAGTTGGAGATCGCCTGGTTTCGATTTCCAACTTGTCAGTACGTGCCTATTCAATGCGTTGTGCTTGAGCCTGGCTTCCAACTGTGTTCGTTATCACAGTAATTGCAATGTACTTTTCAAATATCGACTCCATTATGAACACCAACTTTTTTACGTGTCATATGTTGCCAATAACCTGATTATTCTTTTTTCGACCTTTTAGTTTCAAGTACTTTTTCCTCTTTAATATCCTCAAAGTCAATTGAAACATTTTAAGATGCATCGTAATCGAATGTAGTACTCCAACTACCATTAAAATGGTTAATCTCATCACTAGTAAAATTTATCTATGGCTATTATAGCAAAAGGTAATGAATATTAGATTAAAGAAAACTGAATATTTGAGCAAAGAAATTGGATATTGAAGTTGAAATTATAACATTGCAAATTAAAACTAATTGAAGTCAATTGATGTGAATCAAAATTTTACATCATATTTATAGAAAAATATATCCGTTTCAACCAAATTATTTCAAATTTGAATTTAAAATTCAAAAACTAACGTAATTTAGCGCTGTTAATATAGACAGCTTGCATTAAAACAAAGCTGCCTACATGCATGTAATACAGTTGCCTTAACAAGGCGACTACTGCTACCATATTTGATTTTTTTTTTTCAAATAATTTTTTTCACGTTTTGCAGGCAGCTTAGAAGTCTCAATTTGGCTCGTTGGCTCGGGCGGCCCATGGTTCGACTTAGAAAATTTCTGAGTTGAGCTGGCCTGCCTCAAAGCTTGGTAGAACCACGTCAAGGCTCAAGATGGGGCATCGGGTCGAGCCACACGGGCAGGCCTGTGACGAGCCGAGCCTTATAAATACATAAATGAAAATAAATAAAATCGATAGCTAGTATGTGTAGTTGCTTACAAAACTTTCAAAAAAATTGTTTGAAAAAAAAAAAAAATCAAAGCTGACAACAGTAGCTACCTTGTTACCGGCAGTGTATAGCTGCCTGTGTTGTTAATACAAGCTACCTGTATTAACATTATTAAGTCACGTCAGTTTTCAAATTTGGATGAAACGGATATATTTTTTTTTGCTTGAGTTTCATTATAATTTATTTCAATCGGTTTTAATTTGTAGTATACTAGTTTCAACTTCAATATTCAATTTCTTTTACTCTAAAATTCAGTTTTTTTTATTCTCTATAATACCCATAGATGGTCCTCTCAGAGCCACTGAGATGAGTATCCAGCTATAAATTTCAGGGCCTGTGGGATTAGTTGAGATACGCGTAAGTTGGCCCGGACATTCACGGTCATTAAAAAAAACCCATAGATGGATTTAGTAGTGATGAAATTAATCAGTTTAAGAGTAGTTCGAGTACTCTATCCGATTACGATGCATTTCAAAATATTTCGATTGATTTAGAGGATATCAAAAAGGAAGAAGTACTCGAAACTAAAATGTCGAACAAAAAATTCTCAAATTGTTGGCAACATATGACACGTAAAAAAGTTGGTGTTATAATGGAGTTGATATTTGGAAAGCATATTGTAATTACTATAACAAAGGACTTAGTTGGAAACCCTACTCAAGTACAACGCATTTGAATAGGTATGTATTAAGGAGTTGCAAAACAAAATTAGTCAGTCTCAACCGAAACAGACCGAACTAGGGTTTGGTGGTTCTGGTTCGACACTTTCCACTTTTGTATGTTCACAGGAAAGATTTTATGAAGGAATGATTGCATACATTGTTGCTGCAAAGTTACTTAATACACTTTACGCAACTCGTGTAGAATTATTTCCAATCCAGATGTACTTATTGTAGATATACTCTTCCTTCGGATACTATAAAATTATATAACCAAAAAAAAAAAAAAATTGCTGTTGAAGGTCTAAAAATTTTAAAGTGTGATATCATTTATCTCTGATTTATAAATCAGTATTAATTGAAAATGTTGTATTGCTGCATGGCTCATTACATTAATCACCCGTGACTTCTACATAAAAGGATTATTGCATTCAGATGTGTAGAATATCTTCATAATGTCACTAATATATACATGATTTTAAAATATATTATACAATAAATGGTTCGAAATTTTATTTTTGATAATGCTAGTGTGAACAAAGGTGTTATCTAAAAATTATTAATAATTTTAACTCTGCATTTGGAAGTTTATTTTTTATCAACATTATGTATGCCACATTATCAATTTGAACATATAAGATTGTCTTTAGATAAAATTAAAAAGCAATAAATTTTATTATTGTGTCACAAACAAGAATGAGGAGGATTGTAACTTTTATTTAGGCCTTGTTTGTTTTCCATTTTTGTAAAAATGATAATGAAAAACATAGCCGTTATGGGTTCTACGCAAGAGATAGAAATTCAAATTTGGTGACTTGATATAATGGATAACGGTCATATTTTTCATTTTAATGTGGAAAGAATGGGAAACAAATAGGGGCTTAATTTATAAATCGTATAAATTGCACAGATTTTAATTTCTTTAAAAAAAATTTAGATTTGTCACAAATATTTAAAAAAAAAAAAAAAAAGAAGGAAAAAAAAAAAGCTAGCCGAAAGCTTGGGTTGAACCTAGACTTTTTTGCCGAGCAAAGCTCGACCTGAACTATTTTTGCCTAGAACTATGTGCTTGGTTGAAATATATTTATACTTGAAACAACTGCCAGTAAAACAAGTTGTTTTAGCTTGTAGTTCTAATTCTAAAAAGAAGATAATGAATGACCTGTAATTTTTATATTTTGGAAGTCCATTTGTGTATGTTTGTATGCTTATCATTTGTGGTTTATGTTCCATAATTTACTTATGGGTTTGTTTTCCCGGTTTCCAGTATGTTTGTTTAGCATCTTTCATTCTAAAATTTTGGTTGCTATCCTTTTGCTTTTGTGAATGAGTACTTACTATCTCAGTTGAACAAGTTGTTCTTTTGCCGTATGTCTTGATGATAATTTTGTTGTTACAGGTCCTTGTTGGTCATCCAGATTATGAAATTACTGGAGGCAGCATTACATATAAAGGTCAGGACTTGCTTGAGATGGAGCCTGAGGAAAGAGCTGTTGCTGGGATGTTCATGAGCTTTCAGTCCCCAGTTGAAATTCCGGGAGTTAGCAATATTGATTTTTTGAACATGGCTTACAATGCTCGAAGGAGAAAACTTGGACAGCCAGAACTTGGACCAATCGAGGTAGTTGTTTGCCGCTGTGATATATCTCTTTTAAGTTTTATCTGGTCTAGATTCTGTGTTTCTTGTCCGCATGTCTTTTTGTAGCAAGAAATTATGAACCTTTCTTAGGGATGTTATACTTTAGAAACAATTAATGCACAAACAGTGATAAATAATTTGGAAGAAAGAATTTAAGAAAGTTGATTCAACAAGGAAAGAATGTTTGTGGCAACCAATGACTGGGAACTCTTTTGGAAACACTACCTGTTCTCCCTTTTTTTTTTTTTTTTTTTTTCCTGAAAATCTTATTAGAGCTGGAACCATTGTATGTTTAGAGGGTTTCTACGCTTGTTCTACAGAAGCATTTTTGTTGTTCAAGTAATGAACTCTGCATTAGCTAAACCAGAGAGCTCCCGTAAGAGATGTTTTGACTATAACCTGGAGAGTGCTACCAAAATCCTCCAGTTACCATAACTAAGCAATAGTCCTTCTATTAACTAGGTAAAAGTTGGTTTCTACTTTCTTTCTTTCTTTCTTTCTTTCTTTCTGGGAACTGGACGAGTGGTTAAAATCTGAATAGGTAGTTCTCTCTTCTGTTTTTGAGGTCTCTTTCCATTTCTTAGTAAGAATGGGTGGCAGTATTCTGTCTAAATAGTAGACATAGGTAAGAAATAAGAGAATATTGAAGATCTAATCCATGGAATTTCTCAATTCTCACTCAGATACTTATTAGATCAAATGTACCTATTCGAACTAATAGAATGATTTTGCCTTCCCAATACATTGTATTTGCATGACTTTTAATTGTATGACTACTTAATTCCTGACAGCAAAACATTTACAGTTTGGCCTTTTGCTTCACTGTGTGCTATTTGCTTTCTGCGAAGACACATATGGGTGGTTAATTGTATTTGCTTACAACCATGTTCCCCTCCCTTGGTTACACTTTCCTGAGAGAAATAACTTATGCACGTCGGACTAAGAGGTTGGCCTTCATCCTGTTAACGTCCGAATTGTATTTTCATTGCAGTTCTACGGCTACATAGCACCCAAGCTTGAACTTGTGAACATGAAGGTAGATCTTTTGAACAGAAACGTCAATGAAGGGTTCAGTGGTGGAGAAAAGAAGCGTAATGAGATTTTACAACTTGTGGTATAGGATCCTTTTGTCTTCACATCTTCAATTATTATTTCACCTAAAGATCATCATTTTGCTTTTCCAACACATGCATTTTAGTTTAGGTGTTTGATCACACACAAGACACCAGTAAATGGTAATTGGGTCCGACTTATTTTGAAGGTTTTTGGCTTATTAACAGGAGATAATGTGCATATGCTTCTTTTATGCATCCAGTGATCAGATTGGACTATAGAAAAGCTTTATGCATCGTTCCCATTACATTTGGAGAGAAAATAATCTAGTACCATTTGCCAGAGATCTAAAAGTGTTGGTAACAATGAAATATAGTGCCCTGAAACAACAATAGTCTCCTGACCAACCAGCCTCGCAGCATGACATGCACACACACACTGTGTCTGCAAAGGGAAAGGAGAAGAAGAAAAGGGATATGGAGGGAGAGCAATAATTCAATATGCTTGAGCTAGGAAAAGGATGAACAAATTAGTGACAAAGTGAACGCTGTAATTTAACAGATTCTTAGTGACTAGATTATGGTATCATTATCCTAGTCCAAACTGTGCTCTAAAATCCTATTACAGAGAGCTTCAATGTTGTGTAGATGTCTACCATGATAACTTTCTAATTGGATATATAATGGAAATCTCATTTGCTTAATTAATTTTACTGATCGTGTTCTAGTCTCTTTGTTTTAGCTGTCTTATTCAAGAGTGTGTAAAAACTCCCAAGTTTCTTTCAGAAGTGTCACACGTCTCTTTTCTTTTTCTTATCTGTTGTCCTTTTATGTCCATTTTTTCTATAGGAATGTGATTTGTATACCACCGTGAAGGTACCATTAGATTGTGTTGCTACTCATGCTGAAAGCTCTTGTTTATTCTCAGGTTCTTGGTGCAGACTTGGCTATATTAGATGAAATTGATTCAGGTTTAGATGTTGACGCACTTCGTGATGTAGCAAAAGCAGTGAATGGACTCCTGACCCCAAAGAATTCAGTTTTGATGATCACTCACTATTTACGTCTTTTGGAGTTCATTGCACCTACCTATATTCATATAATGGTAAGCCAACTATGCCTAAAACGAACTAGTAATATGAGTCACTTTAAGGTTAAGAAAGTGATCCGAAGAATATTAGTTACTTTCTCGGTCAAATGACTGTTATATTAAACACCTTAGTTTCAATTCGCAGCCATAGCACGTTCAATTATGACGACAATCTTTTAGTTTAATGCATCAGCGATCACATTTTATTGCTGTGCGTGGTTTATTTTCTCATGGATCAATGACATTCTGACTTATTAAATAATTCTTTACATTTCATTGCAGGAGAACGGCAGGATAGTGAAGACTGGAGATATTTCGATAGCAAAAGTTTTGGAAAAAGAAGGTTACAAGGCAATTTCGGGCACATAACTGTAGACCCATGGCAAGTGGAACTCTTCGCTCTTTCTCACTCTCGCGCAAACTCATCTACTTAGTTTTTCCTTTGTTAAATTTAAACTGCTTATATTTCTCAGCTCCTCTTGATAATGTTTTCGAGATTAAAAGTAGCAAGTTTCTTCAGTGGGCATATAATGTGGCAACGGAGGTAACACGTCCAATTTGCTTGTTCGACATTGAAGATTGTTCTTCGAGGCAATGTCCTAACTGAAGAATGGATCATTCATCTTTGTCATTGATGAGGAAGAACTTGAACATCATTATGTCATTCTCTCACACTGAAGTATCTATTGTTGGCACGTGTTTCTAGAGATTGTTACTCTACTGTCTTTATTACATGGAGATGTATCTTAACATATAGTTCATATTTTTTGGGAACGGCTAACATTTCTTTTGCTTTGCCAATAAATAAGGCCCTGTTCTCTTTACCGTTTTCGGGTCGTTTTCTGTTTTCGATTTTTCAAAACGGTGAAAACGCGTTCTCTTTCCCGTTTTCAAAAACGAATTTTCGAAAACGAAAAAAAATTTGTGAAGAAAACACAAAACGACTTTTTTGTCGTTTTGGGCGTTTTCAGTGTAAAACTTGAAAAAATTGAAAACGCGGGAAACACTTCTTTTTTCTTTTTTTTTTTTTTTTTTTTTTTTTTTTTTTTTGAGGAGGTGGTGTGGTGATTCTCAAAATTTCAAAAAAATTAAAAATTAAATTTTTTTTTTTTTGAGGAGATGTTGTGGTGATTCTCAAAATTTCAATTTTTTTTGGTGTTTTGAGGTGGTGTTGTGGTGATTCTCAAAATTTAAAAAAAAAAAAATTTTTTTGTTTTTTGTTTTGAGAAACTAACAAAAAGAACGCATTTTCAACAATTTCAAAACAAACACTCAAAACACAAAACTCAAAATGAATTCAAAACACAAAACACAAAATTGAAACACAAAGAGAACACCCCCTAAGCTCTCGTCATTGGCGTGTTGCTTCTCTACTTCTGTGTTGTAATTCTATTAGAATTCTAAACCAAACCAGATCTGCACAAGTCAAGTCGACTTCGCATTGACTGCGATCCCCCTTTCATTTGGAACATTCGGAGCCATGTGTAGCGACAATGTTGACAACGAAACTTCCAGTGAGCCTACCTCTCCCTGATTGCCAAGTATGAAAGTACGCAAAAAAAAAAAAAAAAAAAAAAAAAAAAAAAAAAAAAAAAAAAAAAAAAAAAAAAAAAAAAAAAAAAAAAAAAAAAAAAAAAAAAAAAAAAAAAAACACATGTAAGGCGTACCATTCCTCCCTCTCGATTGGTCAAAAATCGTTATTAAGGCGCACATGGGCAAACCTTCAAAGCATGATTTCAAATTCAATATGTGCATGACATGTAAGCTGATGAATAAAACGAGATATTTAAAATAGAATCAATTACAAACTAGTCTATAGGAAATTGCAATCTATTGTTTATCCAAGATTACTTAATTATCAATGAAACTTTGAGGGAAATCAATATGTATTATCGCTTAAGAGAAGAAAATAATGTAAATTCAAATATCTCCCTCTCAAATAACTATTTTTCCTTTTACTCGATTTGAGTATCTGAGTCAGTAAGTTGCAAATTTCAGTGCTTAAAAACACTCAAAGATTAATCGAAGTTCATTTTATTGTTTTCTATTTTGTGATTCAGTTGGTTCCTGCATTCATTCAATTCGAATAAAAAATTATGAGCCTGTTGGGGCACGATTTTTCATCAAAAAAATTGATTTTTTGACTGTTATTTTACTATTCAGCTGTCATATTTGACTTATTCTCTTATAGGTGGACTTCATTTTTCTCCTAATGATCAAAAAATCACTTCCAAACAGGCTCATAGAGATATTCTCAAAACACCATGATTTTCAACCTTTTGGAACCTTTATTACAAGTAAAACATAGTTGCAAAGAACAGGATATATTAAAATCATGGTGTTTTGCTTAGAATCTAATTACCATTGGGTTCAACTATTTAAAAAAAATAAAAATAATACAAAGAAAAGATGTAAATGTACTAAATCCATCAGTGTTTAACTCCATTACATTGATGAGGAGCCGATGAAGTAGTATCAGAACAATTCGAATGTCATTAGTCCTCATTTGAACCTCATCCTCTGAAAATTCATTTTTTTCTCAAACTCGTTCTCAACCACATATTTTCCAAATAAAATAATTTTACATATAAATCGAAAACCTTTTCATACTTTTTAACCACATATTTTCAAAAAAATCACTGGAAAAAATAGAGCTCAAACAAGGGCTTAAATATGTCTAAACATAATCATAATTTCATTAAGTAGACGCACAATGTTGGAAGAAACTCTTTAGCCCTCAAACATCCTCGAAAACATGATTATTATCTCACTTTGCCATGTCAAATTGTTATGTGCAAAGATTTGTCAGATGGTATCAACCCTTTTTACTCCATGTTACACCAAATTTAACGAAAAAACATTTTAACACAAATTTAAGGTAAGAAAAAGGGAAAATAAAGAAAAACTCAAAGAGTATCACTGTGAATCGCCTTTTTCAAGCTTTTCAATTTCTTCACGGTGTTTTCTTTCGGCTTCTTGAAGTTCCCTTTCAGCATCCTCTTCGTCCTCCAATTGATCACGATCTTCAAACTCCTTAGTTGCTGCTAATGCCTTGACAACAGGATCCCGCAGTTCAGAAATTAGACCACCACCAATCCTATACTCTTCTTCGTTCCCAATCAAGAACAATCGCTGATCAGGTCCACTTGCCATGGGAATATCAACTGCCAATAGCTTCATATCATGCTGCAGAAACAGAAGCGAAGTGTGTTATTGTAAGTAGGAGCAGGACATCCTTCACTTCCTATGGAAGTCAAACTTCAAAATCTAGCTCTAGTAAGTAATCTGATTCTGCATCTCAGAGCCATGTGAATGCATCATTTTTGGCTAACTTAAAAAATAAGTAAAAGTTAATTAAAAGTGAGTTTTTGTTTCCAAAAAAAGTCCGCGTCTTAAAGTTACTTTTTTTCTAGAATTTGAGCAAAATAATAATAATTATTTTGATAAAAACTTGTGGGAACCTTGAAATGTGTAGATAAAAAGTGACTTGAGTGTACATAAACGATTTATAAACATGAGCATAACATAGGCCAAGTAATTTCCTTATTTTGAATTTTGATCAATAAAAGAATTATTTAATGTAAAACAAACTTATTATTTTCAGTAAAAATTTTAAGCATGGCAAACATGTTCAAAGACAAGAGGCCAGAATGTTGCAAAATTATGGGCTATCAGCAGAAAATTTGATGAAGCCTCTCTATGGCTGCAGGTTGAGACATAGTTACAAAATCACAAACAGATCTCCAGTTTGACTAAAGGATGAAATTAACAAAATACACATGATCCGGAATTACAATGCATAACTGTCATTTCATTTTTGCAAATCATATATGTCAACAAATCCATACTATATCCAAAAATTACAGCGCATGTGGCAGACATTTCCGTCGAGAAAACATGTATATGGACATTTACGAAGGAATAAATAATTAGTTTATCAAAACGACATTATTACTTAAATATAAGGAAAACAGAAGCAGATAGTATTGAAGCAAACCTGGCCTTTCTTCTTCTTCACTTCAACGCTGACTAAGCCCTTCCTCTCGGAACCTTGTATGGGGAAAATAAGAAAACATCTTTTGCCTCTTAACCTTGGCTGGAAGTTCTTGAGGTTTATGCCCCCTCCTGACATCACATATGCTCTCAAATCGGTCCCTGTTAGAGGAGCACCCATAACCTCAAGGATTCCAGCCGATGTATTAAGTCGCCTCATGGCCATTCTATAAACTTTATCAGGATTGATTGTGAATCTTGAACGAAAATACAAGCCCTTCACAACACAAAAATATTTGATAATTTTTATTGATGATCATACAAGGTAATAATAGAATATACATACATCAGCAATATGCTACAGAAACTGTGAGTTTTAATTGCATGTGCAGTAAAGATGAGGTGGGCAAATTTACTGGATCTGGTTGAACCGGTCCATTTTTTCTCAATCTTTAAATAAATATAAAATAGTTATTGGTAGACAATATATAATTCATTCTCATATATCTGGTATAGATCAATTATTAAGCCTTAAATTCTGAAGAAACCGAACTGGTATGCAACAGTCAGTCCTGTTCTGGTGCTTTTACAACTGACCCACTGTGTACAATAATCCACATCATACCCAATTTGATTTGTTTTTTGCAAGAATCACACCAGACGCACCTCAGAAGGGGAGAAGGAACAAAATATTCCTTCTCTCTTAAAAGTTGACTAAACTAAATAAAAAGGTAAGTTTTACCCATCATTTCCTACCTTCCTCTTCATAATCAATTTTGTTCCCAAGTCCTTCAACCGAAGTCCAAAATCACTAGAATATACATCCAAAGAGGAATTTAGACTGAGTCCAAATCAATTACAAGTCATCTAAACTTCAATATTAACCACCCTTCCGCCCAGTGAGAAGAACCTGCCAGACAAGTAAGACATTGTACAAAAATAGAACACCTAAAGCTGTGCATCAGAAAATAGTATCTATATGCATATTTTGTCTTTTATAGCTGCACATCTTAAGATTCAGGAAAATTTAAAAAAGCAACGCTGAAGTAGAACACACTGTAGCCAGAACGATAAAGAAAAGGTTACTGCAATTATATTTACAGCTGAAAGAGCAGACAAATCTCATCCGAAAAGTAAAGTTGCCCTCGCCCATTATTACGTGCACTGCTTGGAGAACTCACACAATATGTCGTTGAACAGGTAAATCTTTGAAATATTCATAATATGGAAAGATTTACCCAGAATGGGAATGCACATTATGACAATATGACCAAACAACTGAATACTTTGAATGAAATAATAAATAAGTTAGTAGGCCAAATTTGTCAACCAGTTACGCCTCTTGCAAACCACTTTCAAATTAGGGCAGTTGTGGGACATAATCCCCCAGTCCTAAATCCAAATCAAGGGGTAGAACCACATTTCGGTTCCTCTACTTCAAACCAAGGGGATGGTGTAATGCTAAATCAGAATAATAGTAGTAGTACGCCTAACTTGGAGGGTAATCCAAATATAAGAGATAATGTCCTAAATAACGAGCAGAATACCCCACATGTTAATGAGGGAATAAATGTTCGGGCTAATGGTAACAATGGTCCAAATCATGGTAACTTAATTCCTAATCAAGGACCAAATATCAGACATCAAGCAAATCAACCAGTCAACCAACCTGTAGGGATTCCATATGACCCCAACGTCATGTTGAGGAATCAGATTATAAAAATCGTACAGGACCAAATAGCTTTTGGAGTACGTCTTGTCATTAGGCCGACTTACACAAAGCCATATCCTGATTGGATAGACCAAGCATATCCATGGTCTAGATGGTATAAAGTGCCAGAATTTTCACTGTTTACCGATTTAGGGGAGGTGTCCACTCTAGAACACATAGGATGATTCACACTGCAAAGTGGTGACGTAACTAATTATCATAAAATGAGACTTTTCCCTAGTTCATTAACAGGAGTGGCTTTCTCCTGGTTCATAAATTTGCCAGCGAATTCTGTTCAAACATGACAACAATTAGAACAATTGTTCCACGCTCAATTTTATAAGACTGAGTCTGAAGTTACTTTGGTCGATTTGGCGAACCTACGTCAAATGCCAAACGAATGAGCAGAAGGTTTCCTCCAAAGGTTCAAGACAGCAAGAAGTAAATGTTTTGTACCTTTACCCGAAAAAGAATTTGTCAAAATCGCTCAAGGTTGTTTGAACTTTGATTTAAAAAAGAAATTCCAAGACAAGGAATTTCCTGACCTTTTCCAATTGAGCGCGAACGTGATTAGGTATGAACGATTGATAAGAGAAGAAGAGCAGATAAAAAATTCTAGCAAAGGGACTTATTATAGAGACCCAAATTTTGATGTTCATACCATCAATAACGAGTCATACGATCAAACCGAAATGTGTTTGGCCGAATTAGTCAAAGGAGACACGTATACTTATCCTATAATGGCTAAACCTAGACCATTGGGTAAGGATGAGCCTATGAAAGATGAAAACGTAAAAGCTAGGACGTTCTCGTTCGATGTAACCAAAACTGACCTTATATTTGATAAATTATATAAGGATAAGTAGATAAAGTTGAGCGATAAGCATAAATTGCCAAACCCTGAACAAATAAAGGGTAAAAAATGTTGCAAGTGGCATAATGCATGGTCACATTTGACTAACAATTGCTTGATTTTTCGCCATGTGTTGCAGGATGCCATTGAATCATGACGAATTACGTTCGATGATAAGAAGAAGATGGCAGTGGATGAAAATCATTTTCCACAGCCACTTGGAGTGAATATGGTGACATCTGGTTTCAAAAACAAGTTGCCAAAATTCAAATTGATTATAGATGATGGACAAGAAGACCCTAGACCATATCCCAGTGTCTTTGAGCGTATTAAAGGGAAGGAGCCAAAGAAGGATGAAGACGTCTTGTGTGCAAGATGTAAAAGAGAAGTGAGTGGGAATACGGAAAAACCAGGGATATGACAGCATCCCCATCGCCCTACTCTTTTCCCAAACGCTCAGCCTGGTAGAGGGTGAGGTACATCGTTCTACAAGGGACCGCCTTTTGAGAGGCAGTTCAGGCCAGTAGATAATGGGAGAACATTCGGGCCGCAACCCCGCCGGCCAAATGTATGGCATTCGTTCCAGTATAATGCAGGAAGGGCAATACCCTTCGACGAGATGACTAGAACTCAACAAAGGCGTTTTCAACGAAATTATGGACGAATGATGAGGCAACAACAGGGAGTGTCACATCCTAAAGCGCCTAAAGGTAACCAATCAAAATGTTCTCAAAGATAGTGAAGAGACCGATACAGATGAATCAATGAAAGAGTTGTAAGAAACTTCTTCTGGGAGATCGAAGTTTGAGCGAGACAGAAAAGATGGTGAAGATCCAGATCAGCTCCTTACTATTCAGTTCGGTACGTTACCTCCTATTGTGGCTAATAACTATTTACTAGTCAATGAGTTCAAAAATAAAGAGAAAGAAGAAGAAAGGGAGGATAACGAAGGAGAAGCATGCGTTCTGGAATATGAAGAAGGCCAGACTTCTAGAGAGGCCTACGATGGTGATGAAGATGATGGTATGACAGATATTGAAGAGGAAATCGATCTGAAAGCAAAAAGGAGAAGAAGAGGAGTATCGTACAATACTCTATTGAAACAACTACATCAAGAGGGATTCGTGAAGTAGATTTATTGAGAGAACCATCTGGGCGTTCTTTCGATTTTTACGTGCTGTACGGGACGCCCAAAAGGAAGGAGAGAGTGCCTCGTTCTGAAAAGTATGGATCGCCTCCAAGAATAATGCCTCCTCCCACAGGTTGGGTGACTGAAGAGGAAGTATCAGAAAACAGTAAAAAGGGAATTCAGGAGACAGAGGCTCAGTGCGATATGCTGCATGTCGACTTATCACAAAAGGATAACTTAACAGAAGACAAGCAGGAAGTAGAAATAGAGGCTGCCGAAAAGGTTATTTTTAAACAGCCAGCCATGAAATTGACTAAACACTTGAGGCCGTTGTACGTTAAAACTCTAGTCAACGGCATACCTGTGGCAAAAGTGCTTGTCGATAATGGAGCAACTATAAACACCATTCCATCTAAGATGATGAGGAAATTTGCAAAGACAGAAGGGGATATGATTCCAACTGAAGTCATCCTTACAAGTTTCAATGGAGGAGCAACTGCAGCTAAAGGAGTTATGCCATTGGACATAACTATAGGTACAACTACTAGAACCACAGTATTCTTTGTAATAGATGGTCCTACTAGTTACAACGTGTTACTAGGAAGAGATTGGATATACGGAAGTCGTTGTATACCCTCATCGCTCCATCAATGCCTGATTTTTTGGAATAACAAGGGTGAAGCAGAGGTGGTGCAGGCCGATCATAGGCCTTTTGTAGCAAAAGCAAACTCAGTGGAAAGGTTCATGTACGAAGGAAACTATGGACCTGTCAGGGTAGTCCAAGATGGGGAAGAAACTCAGATTATCGCGCAGAGTGAAGAGCCATTTTCAGTGAACGCACTCACTGAAATGTTCAGTCAGATGAGGCCAAATGTAGTGGCCCTAGAAAAGCCAGTAATTGGCAAAAGAATAATTAAGGAGTCTTGAATGAGTTCTAAGCAATAAGAGCAAATGACTGATATTCAGGCCTTCAAAGCCAAATTAGTGGCTTTCAATAAAGAATGCAAGGACAAGGCGAAAGAAGAGGCAGCCCTGAAAACGCTGAAAGACAAATTAGCAGTATTCGAATTGGAACAAAGTATTGACCGAGAAATCAACAAGGTTGGTTGTTTAGAAGAAGAAGTGCTTACAAGGGAACTGGACGATGAAGTAATGCGGATCATCAAGCCTGGATACGCTCAAGCACAAGACCCTCTAATTAAAGTAAATATTGGCAATGAAGGAGAAGACCGTCCAACATTCATCAGCCAGATGATCGATCAAGAGGTTAGTAATAAATTAATCGCTTTGTTAAAAGAGTATAAAGATTGTTTTGTTTGGGAATATAAACAAATGCCTGATTTAGATAGAGACTTGGTGGAACGTAGATTACCAACTAAGCCTAATTTTAAACCTCATAGACGACCTCCCAAACGTTTTGCTCCTAATGTACTCCTTGAGATTAAAAAAGAGATAGAGCGATTATTAAAAGTATGCTTTATTAGAACAGCCAGGTATGTCGAATGGTTGTCCAATATCGTGCCAGTACTAAAAAAGAATGGTAAACTAAGGTTGTGTATAGACTTTAGGAATTTAAACATAGCC